TTGTTTGTTTATTTGAAAGAGACTCTTCCATGCACTCTTTAAGTCCCCAGATGGCCACAGTGGTCAGTTCTGGGCCAGGCCGAAACCGAGAGCCAGCAGCTTCTCATCCAGGCCATCATCATACTTGGGCCATCATCCACTGCTTTTCCCACGTCGTCAGCAGGAAGCTGGATCGCGAATGGAGTAGCCAGGGTGTGAACTGGCACCCGTATCAGGTGCCAGCATCGCCGGCGGTGGCTCTACCCACTGTGCCACAACGCCAGCCCCTAGTTTGGTGTTCTTGTGTGTTTCTCCTGGTTTGTTAAGGTTCTTGGAACTACAAGCTTCTGGCTTTCATGTAATATGGAAAACCTTCAGCTGTTATTTCCACAAGTATTTTACACACACACACACACACACACAACTCGAACTACACGTATGATTGGTGCTACCCTACAGGCCCCCCAGGCTCTACCCGGGTTCCTGCCTCTTCTCACACCACACTGCATTCTGGAATAGACTTATTGCTGTATCTTCAAATTCTCTGGTCCTCCCTCCTTCCCTCCTTTCTTCCTTCCCTCCCTCTCCCCCCCCCCCCCGCTTCCTCCCTTCCTCCATCCCTCCCTTCCATCCTTCCTCTAAACTGCTATTTGTTGATCTGTAAACGTGACATTCTCGTTTTTAAGACTGTTATTTACTTCCCAGTGCCCACAACTGTTCCCAGCTGGGGCCAAGGCCAGGATCCACGTTGGTGTCAGGGACCCGGTCACCGGGGCCATCCCCAGCTGCCTCCCAGGGCTGCAGCAGCGGGAATCTGCAGTTTGGAACCAGGACTTGAATGCAGGCACTCCGCGACGTGGGTGCGGTCGTCCTAACCACTGAGCCAAGTGCCCTCTTTTCCAGTCTCTCATCCGGCGCACATGCTCAGTGAGGTTTTTATTTCTAGTGCTCCGTTCCCGTATTACGTTCATGTTGTTGTTTAGAGATTAATCACATTGAGGTTATTTATGAGAGCTTTGCAAGTTATCTTTTCTGCTAATTCCATCGTCCCTCGTGTTTAGCTCTTTCTAGTAACCGAGTTACTCTGGGCTGCCAGTCTGATTTGCTTTCTCATTTGCTTGTCTGGTAGCTTTTGTTGGTTGCTGAGTGCTGGATTTTGTTCATTTTATTAAAAAACGAAAAAGTATTGGGGCCAGCGTTGAGGCGTTACAGGCAGTGCTACCACCTGTGACACCGGCATCCCATGTGGATGTCTGAGTCCCAGCTCCTTTACTTGTGATCCGTCTCCCTGCTCGTGGCCTGGGAAAGCAGTGGAAGGTGACCCAAGTACTTGGACCCCTGCCATACATGTAGGAGGCCTGGAAGAAGCTCCTGGCTTCAGCCTGGGCCAACCCTGGGCTGTTGCTGCCACCTGAGAGTGAACCAGTGGATGGAAGATTTCTCTCTCTATGTAACTCTGATTTTAAAATGAATAAATCTTTTTTTTTTTAAGATTAATTTTATTTATTTGAAAGAGTTACAGAGAGAGGTAGAGACAGAGAGAGAGGTCTTCCATCCACTGGTTCACTCCCCAGATGGCCACAATGGCTGGAGCTACGCCGATCCGAAGCGAGGAGCCAAGAGCTTCTTCCGGGTCTCTCACCTGGGTGTAGGAGCCCAAGGACTTGGGCCATCTTCTACTGCTATCCCAGGCCATAGCGGAGAGCTGGATTGGAAGAGGAGAAGCTGGGACTAGAACCGGTGCCCATATGGGATGCCAGCGCTTCAGGCCAGGGCTTTAACCCGCTGCGCCACAGCACCAGTCCCATAAATAAATCTTTTTAAAAATAATTTTTTAAGTGTTGGGTTTGTTTTGGTAATTGTTAATTGCCTATTAGTTTGATCACTCCAGGGCTTTTCATATGAAAGGCAGGGAGACAGAGAGAGGGCTCCCAGCCACTGGTTCACTCCCCCCGAATGCCTGCAACAGCCAGGCCAGTGCCAGGAGCCAAGAACTCAGCTCTCTCATGGCGGTGGCAGGAACCCAAGTACTTTAGCCATCACCTGCCAGCTTCCACGGTGTGTCTTCCAGAAGCGGGAGTCGAGAGCAGAGCCAGGAGCTGAACCAGGGCACTGCAGTGTGGGACACGGGTGTCCCCAGTGGCCTCCTGACCACGTAGCCACTCACTCAGCCCTCAGAGCTTGCCTGTACGCTCTGTTGCTGCAGTCCTAAATATCTTCTATTCGAAAGCTAGGTTAGTTCCACGGCTACTGTGTGCCCGCCCTGGGCTCACTACCCAGTGCCCCGTGTGTGTGAAGTGGCTCTGGCCGGCTGGTGAGAGCGCCCGGGGGCACGTAAGGGCGATCACTCAGTTTGCAGGTCTCTGGATTTCCTCCTGCACATGCTCAGATTGGGCTTCAGCAGGCGGCACAGGAGCCCGAGAACTCGTTCTACATAGCGCCTTCCTCGCCTGAGCCCTCCTCCCCCACGTTGTTTGTGTTCTGACACAGCCAGGCTGTGCGTGGGTTCCCCTCCCTGCACCGGGAGTGTGGAAACTGCCTCCAGGCAGAAAGACTGGGGCTCCTTAGTCTGTGGCTCTGAGGACACGGCCTGTGCGGGGGCTTCCAGCATTGTGCCCGCTTCCTGGCGGTCGGCAGGGGAGGGTCCAGGCAGCACTTCCCTGAGGGCTGGAGGCAGACACCACCAGTTGGTCTTAGACCTCACATGAACCATACATGTGTCAGGATATGTTTATTGCTGTTGAACATGAGGAACGAAAACCAGTTATTAGAAGAGACACTAGAACAGGTGGTTTTCCTGGCCCAGTGTGATGCAGATGCGTCCTGGGCGAGCCTGGGTGGTCTCTGACCTCAGACCCTTGGGCGGTGTCTGGTGCTCCCGTAGGCCACGCTGAGTGTTCACTTTTCTATGAACCTCTGAACCTCAGCGTCCACCTCTTGTTTTAGTCATTAGTAGTTGGCTCTGCTGTCCGGGCTGACTTGGGGTAATGAGTGCGCAGTGTGCGTGCGACAGGTCTTCCTGTCCCTCCATCCTGAGAAATGGGCAGGAGGGACTGCAGGCTCCCTCCACTCACTCACGCAGTTAAGTACTTCCTGCGTGCGGTGAGCACTGGGGAGAGAGTGAGTGAGATGGAATCTGCTGAGCGCTGGACGCGTGTCTGCGCCAGTGTCCGCATCCCACTTCCTGCCCCGCACACCCTGGGAGGCAGTGGTGACGGCTCCAGTGGCTGGGCTCCTGCCCCCAACGTGGGAGGCCTGGGTGGGGTGCCCAGCTCCTGGCTCTGGGCCAGCCCTCCATCCATTGTGGACATTGAGGAGATGAACCAGTATATGAGGTCTTGTGTGCATTCTCACCCTCCCCACACACCCCCGTGTGTGTGTGTGTGTGTGTGTGTGTGTGTGTCTGCCTCTCAAGCAGCTTTTTTAAAGAATTGAAAGAGAAATAGTTTTGAGGGATCCTGGGGAGAAAAGGAAGCCGGGTGATGTGAAAGGGTCTTGGGACCCTCATGCCCATGTGGGAATGCTCGAGGAAGCTCCTGAATTTGGCCTGGCCCAGCCCCAGCTGTTGCGGCTGTCTGGGGAGTGGGCCAGTGGACTCAGGTGAATATATGAATCTGAAAGGAAGGAAGGAAGGAAGGCTGACTGACTGGGGCCAATGCTGTGGCAAAGCCCTGGCCTAAAGCACCGGCATCTCATTTGGGTGCTGGTTTGAGTCCCGGCTGTTCCACTTCCGATCCAGCTCTCTGCTGTGGCCCGGGAAGGCAGTGGAGGATGGCCCAAGTCCTTGGGCCCCTGCACCCGCATGGGAGACCTGGAGGAAGCTCCTGGCTCCTGGCTTCGGATCAGCTCAGTTCTGGCCATTGCAGTCATCTGGGGGGTGGACCAGATGGAAGATATCTCTGTCTCTGTCTCTCCCCCCCGCTTCCTTTCCCTCTCTCTGGCTCTACCTCTCTCTGAAATTCTGTCTTTCAAATAAATAAAATAAAGCTTTGGGGTGAGGGGACCCTCCAGAGAAGACTAGGATGGCATTGCTTCTACCTGGTGAACAAAAGTCATTAGGCTTTGCCCAGGACGTCATCTGACATCTAAAATGTCCTTTTGCCAAGTCTCTCCTAACTGCTCTAGCTTCTTTTCTTTGACTTTGGAGGAAATGTTTCCAACACAAGATTTCTCGTGTCCTGCCTCTCAGCCTCCGCCACTGCTGCTCGTACAAACAGCCGGATCCAGTCTTCCTAACATTTCGTCCTCTTTCTCCCACCTCCAAGCTGTGGGTGGACTCGGCGCCGTGTCAGATGAGATTTAGGGCTTTCCCACAGGTAACAGGGCCAAGTGTGGAATGACCCCCTTGACGTTGTCATCATCCCGAGGCTGACTGGAAAACGGGCACTGTGGTGCTGTAGGGACTGTGGTGTGAGTGGGAATGCCGGGTGGCCCACGTCGTGGGGCGGCACGGGGGAGAGCGCTCTCAGCTATGAAAGGGTGGCGGGGCCTGGACGAGGGGAGCGGGCCCTCAGGTGGCTGCCTCCCAGGGCAGTGTAAGCTGTACTGAGGGCCTGGGGCGTTCCCCGGGGAGCCTGGCTGCGGTGGCAGCTGCCACTCCGCTCTGTACACCAGCAGAGGTGCATGGCTGCTTCCCGGGGCCTCCACAGGTCCCTCCTGCTCAGCTGGTGGCCGCCGGCAGCCTCAGCCGCGGTGATGAGAGGTGGGCTCGCACCTGTGCCCTTTTCCCCCTGCGCTTCTCGAACCTCCCGTGGTTGCCGTCCCCGAGACCGTGGGTTCCGCGTAGCTGCTCTGCACCAGGCGCCTTTCTCCATCCTTCCTTTTTTTCTGCAAGATAAGCGGAGGCCGATGCCGCTCTCAGACTGGAGATGGGCCAGTCCCTGGAGCAGGAGACCCCACCCCGCAGGGTTCTGAGCTGCTCAGCCTTGTCCTGGGACGCGAGGCGGCCGGGTTGCCGTGCGGCTGTTGACGGAGGAGGCGGGAGGGGCGGCACAGACACTGTGGTTTCCACCTCTCGGCAGGTTCATCCCCGTTCATGGACGCGCTAACAGCCAATGGGACGGCCAGCCTCCAGACGTCTGTTACGGGAGTGACAGCCGGGAAAAGGAAGTTTCTTGACGACAGGAGAGAGCAGCCTTTTGACAAGCGGCTGCGTTTCAGTGTGAGGCAAACAGAAAGTGCCTACCGGTACAGAGACATTGTCGTCAGGAAGCAGGATGGCTTCACCCACATCTTGCTGTCCACAAAATCATCCGAGAATAACTCACTCAACCCAGAGGTGAGACGCCCTCCCGGGGCCCGGCCGTGCCCCGCTTGGCTGAACTGGGCTCTTCCTTGTGTTCCCGCTGCCCGCCCCGGGCGGGACGCGGCGGGGACGTGTGGCAGCCCGGCTCCTCTTCACGCTGGCGGAGCTGGGCCCACAGCCGCCGCGTGTTCCTGGTGTCCGTCTGCTTTCTGCTGGGAACTGGAGCTCTGATCGGGGAGCCGGGAGCTGGGCCTCCCTCGGGTCACGTGGGAAAGGGTGTTCGTGCACAGGCCTTGCTGTAGCTTTCGTCAGGCTGTTCACGGGGTCTTTATTCCAACAAGAGAAGGCCCCTGGGTCCCAGCCTCCAGAATATTTGCTCCTGGTTCCCAGTCTGGTTCCTCTTCAGCATTGCGACAGAACCTGGGCCCCAGGATCTCCCCCACGGGCCCGTAGCTGCGTAGGCTTCCTGAAGCCAGCAGACACGTGCCTGCATCCAGACTGGAAGATCCGACCTTGCACGTGAGGTCCTGCTGGTTTTCTGCCTGTGTGCAGCTAGGTGAAGGTTTTCTCCAGACGGGAAGACCCCACTGCACGACATCTGTGTGTCTGGCCAGTCTGGGGCTGGTCCTTGGTACGGATTTAGACGACAGCGTCTGTTCATTGGTTATTTTTAAGTGCTTCATAGAGATCATCTTGAATGATTTCATGCCCTTCTAAAATTAACTTCCCATGCTTCTGCTTGTGCTTCTACTTAACACACTTACATACCACACCATTTAGGTTTCCGTCCCAAGTGTGGTAGGCTGGTTAAAAGAATAACTAACTAAATAAAAAATAAAGTAATAGAAGACGTTTCTTTGAACTGGATGAATGTGCCACCTGCTGTCCAAACTGTAGAAGTGCCCAGGGGTGGAACAGGTAAGTTGCTCGCCAGTCTAGTTAGTTCACCGATAACGGGTTACGTAGTTGGAGTTGTACTCTCTCTCCTGCCTCCTTGTCTCTGGTTACAGGAAATTGGAAATGTGCAACCTGTGTAAAGGCTGGGAGCTGGGGCGCGCTGCTTCTTGCCCTGGGATCCCCTGGGGCTAGGGTGTCTCCAGGATCCTGTCCCCGGCAGACGCTCTGCCACTGTAACGTCTGGTTGCCTTGCAGGTCATGAAGGAAGTTCAGAGCGCCCTGACCACAGCCGCTGCCGACGACAGCAAGCTGGTGCTGCTGAGCGCCGTGGGCAGCGTCTTCTGTTGTGGTCTCGACTTTATTTATTTTATACGCCGTCTGACAGATGACAGGAAAAGAGAGAGCACTAAGATGGCAGAAGCTATCAGGTATGCAGAAGTGCTGTTTGGTGGGTTTTGTTGTGTTTTTTTAAGCGCTGGTTGGGTGTACCGAGGCCCAGTAGAACTGGTCTAGATGGCAGTGTTGGGAGAAGATGTGCGAGTGGTTACATCACCCCCTTCCTGCGGGCCTGCCGTGACCCTGCGCCGGCCTTGGGCACGCAGCTGGCTTCAGGGCGGGCTTAGCCCAGCAGCGCGGGCGTTCTGATGACAGAGCCCTGGATGGCGGCGTGCGGCCGGAGTTCCTGCGTCGGTGCTGGGAGTGTGTTCCCTCCGCTGCGCTTCAGTGAGGAAGCATTCTCTCCCAGATGACTTGGCACGTGCTTGGCCTGGGCTTGTAGGGCAAGCTGGCCCCGTGACAGCGCATGGAAAGTTTGGTTTTTAGCACAAGCAGGGCGCATTCCTCAGCTCGTCCCAAGTTCCGGGCGCACAGACAGCTGCATAATGCAGTGTGGGAAAGAAGACATCCCCTCTCCGCCATCTCCCCCGAAGGCGTGCGTGTCCAGCTGTATTTTTCCAGTCTTTTAGAACGTTTGTTTTTAATTTTTAAAATGCTTTAATTGCCAAATAACAATTGCTTATCTGTATGTTATGCGACATGATGTTCTGAAATGTGTGTATGGAGGGAGTTCAGAAGTTCCTGGAAAATGGCGTTTAAGGACGTGCACGTTATCCGTGAATCTCTTGAATCTCCCTTATGAACCAAGGCAGTTAACATATGCATGGCTCAGGCTTATTTCTTGTGTGGTGAAAACACTTAAGCGCTACTCCTGGTAATTCTCAAATATACAATACACTGGGGTTTTTTTAAGATTTTTATATTTTTTTAAAGATTTATTTTACTTATTTGAAAGAGTTACAGAGAGAGGTAGAGACAGAGAGAGAGGTCTTCCATCCGCTGGTTCACTCCCCAGATGGCTGCAACAGCTGGAGCTGCGCCAATCCGAAGCCAGGAGCCAAGAGCTTCTTCCGGGTCTCTCTCGTGAGTGCAGGGGCCCAAAGACTTGGGCCATCTTCTATTCTTTCCCAGGCCGTAGTGGAGAGCTGGATCGGAAGAGGAACAGCCGGGACTAGAACCGGCATCCATATGGGATGCTGGTGCTTCAGGCCAGGGCTTTAACAAACGTCTTCCATTACACAGCGCTGGCCCCTCGATTTTTATATATTTATTTGAAAGAGTCACAGAGAGAGACCTTCCACCCGCTGGCTTACTCCCAAGATGGCTGCAAAGGCCAGGGCTAGGACATGCTGAAGCCAGGAGCCAGGAGCTTCATCCAGCTCTCCCAATGGCTACAGGGGTCCAAACACTTGGGCCATCTTCCACGGCTTTCCCAGACCACCAGCACGGAGCTGGGTAGGAAGTGGAGCGGCCAGGACACAAACTAGAGGACATATGGGATGTTGGCATCGCAGGCAGCGGCTTTACCCCCAGGCCACAATGCCGACCCCCACAGCACTGTCTTGTCCAATGTATGTTTCACATACATGTCACATAGGCTGGTTTTCATTCTGCATAATGGTTTTATACTGTGTGTTGCTTTTTTCATGAAACTATGACTTTAGGTCCTTCCAGTTCCCTGTTGTTGGGTTTTGGCTGCTGTATCCCAGCAACACAAGAGCTTTCCCCACAGCTGCCTGGCTCTGCTGTGAACAGTTCCCTCCTTTATCAAGCCCGCTGCTGCAGGGGGGTTAGAAGTGTCTGACTTTTCAGAGGTTAGTTTTATCTAGCATGAATGAAACCAGAAAGCCTGGTATTCCCCTACGCATGTCTCTAAAGAACACACCCCTAGTGACCCCTAACGACCCTGGTGTCCACCTGCTAATGGACAGATGAGTGAAAAGTACACATACAGACTTGCAAAATGGCAGTGAAGTTGGTTCTGACACCTTCAGCTATGCTGAGGCTGGGACCTGAGTTTCTTTGATGGTCACTGGGCTCTGACTGACTGGGCTGATCAGCACAGCTCTGTGGTCCCCTGAGTGTCCGGGACACTGACTGCAGGGGTGGGGGTGGGACCAGGCCAGGGCATCTCTCAGGGACAGACCTCCCAGAGGTGCCCCAAACAGCCCACCAGAGAGGCCCTCGGCCCCACCCCTGGTGGGGAGGGACAGGCATTGCCAGACCACGTGTGATGTCTTTCAGAATCAAATGAGATGAGCTATTCCTTAATCTTTGTAATATTGCCGCTTTTTAGACTGTCCTGCGATACTTGTGTTTTCGGAAATAGAAATTTTGTGATCTGGTCTCTGGTCTCACAAGTAATTTCAAGCTTGTGGTAATGAGCTGGCGCCACCTTGCTGTCCGGTCTGAGGTTAAGCTGGTTGATCAGTGCCCAGCGGGTACACCACCTCGTGGAGTGGCCGCGTCTTCCATGCGCTCAGCCGAATGCACACACAGCGTTCTGATGGCGGTGGCTCGGCCGTGATCAGGAAGGAGGGAGTGTCGGCCCAGTCCTCCGAGCCTTGGCTCCGTGCTCCTGAGCCCCACTTGTGAATCTTGTGGGTGCCTCACTCCCACGTGACTGGATTGCCTCTGACCGCTGCTGGGTTTGTGGAGCTGGGATTCACAAAACCGGGGGAAGGCTGGGGTGAGGTGGAGCTGGGCGGAGACGGCGTGCGCCGAACCTGCGGTCAGGGGGGTTCTTCCAGCAGCTGCCCACCCCCTTCCGCAGAGGGCAGGGTGCTGTTCTTGGAGCCAGCCAGCCCTGTCCGGGGAATCCCCTCTGGTTTAAGGGAACATGCTTTTGCAGATGGCAGTTTTCTTAGTAAAGCCCAGGCTAGATCTGAAAAATAATTAGTTACCCCTGAATCCCTTAACCTTTCCTCTTGCTCATTTGCACATAAATTAATTGTATCCGGATGAGATCAGCTGAGCGCGCAAAAGCTCTGTGTATGGTTTTTGTTTCTGCGGTGTCTCCTCTAAAAATCCTTAAAACTTTTGGATACAAAGGACTTGGCTGTAGGGAATTTCCCAAAGGAACAGGGAAAGGAGGAGGATGGTGTCGGGCGGCCAGTTCTGTGCCCTGAACTGCTGGCCCACACCCCGGTGCAGAGTGACCGCCGTGAAACAGTCCCCACACCAGTGACGGAGCCAGGACGCCCAGGAGCCAGCCAGCGGCGTGAGGCCTTGGAAGTCTGTGGGGACCTGCAGGGCGCCCTTGGCCGAGCGGCAGATCTGAGGGGGGACAGAGCCAGTGAGTGGACTGCCCCGACCTTGACCTCTCCCCTGCCCAGTGCTTCCTGCTGCAGACGGCCGAGGTCCGAGGGAAGCGAGAGCTCAGCAGATGCAGATGCCAGCTGGCTTTAAACCCCGGGCCTCCGCCCCAGCCCGTTCCTCCCTAGACAGCTGTCTCGGCCGAGCAGCTTGGTACCTGTGAGTGAGAAGATGTTCTGCCCAAGGAACACTTCGTGCTGTCTTTCAGAACTAGCTTTGTGACTAAGCCCGCCCCATCCCTGCCGCACCCAGCACAGCCTTTAACTCGGTCCATGGGTCGTTCAGAGGAAATGAGTGTGGATCCAGTCCCGTGCCTCATATACATTTAAGTGGCCATGCGCTTCGGTTTTAAGGGTTGTTATTTTTTTTTTAAGATATATTTTACTTATTTGAAAGGCATAATTACAGAGAGGGAGAAATAGAGGTTGATCTTCCATTGGCTAGTTCACTTCCCAAATAGCCACAATGTCCAAAGCCAGGAGCCAGGTGCTTCCTCCAGGTCTCCCATATGGGTGCAGGGCTGGCACGTGGGCCATCCTCCACTGCCTTCCCAGGTGTATTAGCAGGGAGCTGGATCAGAAGTGGACAGCTGGGACTTGAGCTGGTACTCATGGGATGCTGGCGTGGTCCTGAATTTAAATGAGTTTGTGTGGACAGTGTTCACCCTGGGCATCTCAGAGCTGAGTTTGTGTGTGGACAGTGTTCACCCTGGGCACCTCAGAGCTGAGTTTGTGTGTGGACAGTGTTCACCCTGGGCACCTCAGAGCTGAGTTTGTGTGTGGACAGTGTTCACCCTGGGCATCTCAGAGCTCACACCAATGTGGCCAGTTCCTGGCCTCCAAGGACGAAAACTGGTTTGGGGGTTCCTTCATGCCACTTCCAGAAGGAACCTCTGGTCTCAGGTGAAGTTCCCAAGTTACCACTCTAAGTAAAAAAACAAAACTGTAATTCCAAAAAAAAAGTCTGCAGCCTGTCACAGTCCATCTGTTTGAGGCCGGGTTTTGTTTATCACAGCCGCGCTTTGCCGTGGAGACAGCAGTGCCACAGTGCTCACTGCCCTCACTGTTTCCCTGTGGAGTCATTTTGTCGTAGACGAGGTGGGGTCTAAGTTCCTATTCCAGGTCCTTTTACCTAGAGAAGCATTCTAAGTACAGGCACAAACACAGGCACAAGATGAAAAAATCTACTTACGGGGCCGGCGCTGTGGTGTGGCAGATTAGGCTGCAGTCTGCAGTGCTGGCATCCCATATGGGCGCCAGTTCAAGTCCTGTCTGCTCCACTTCGGTCCAGCTCCCTGCTACGGCCTGGGAAAGCAACAGAGGACGGCCTAAGTCCTTGGGCCCCTGCACCCACAAGGGAGAACCTGAAGAAGTTCCTGGCTCCTGACTTTGGTCTGGCCCAGCCTGAGCCATTTAGAGAGTGAACCACAGCAGATGGAAGATCTCTCTCAGTCAATCAATCAATCTCTCTCTGGCTTTCAAATAAATAAGTAAATCTTTAAAAGAAAAAAGTCTATTTACAAGGTGAGGAAAACTCACACACACGCATACACGCACACACTGGTCAGGGATAGAGTGGGCCAGGAAGGGAAAGTGTTGTAGAGAGAAGTACAGACAGTGCCTTAGCACCTGTCTGGTCTGCAGAGAGAACCCCGCCCAGTTGCTGGCTTCTTTTGCGCTTAGAAGGGGAGTGCTTACATGGTTACTGCCCCAGGTCCCAGGTGAGGGGAGATGCATCCTGGGAAAGGGGTTATTAGACTGACTGACGAGCGGATAGG